TTATGGGGGCATGCGCTGACAATGGTGGCAAGGGGGCATGGGGGGTTTGGCGGGGGACGTGGGCCGGAGAAGGTATATAAAGGGGTACACATCTCTCTTTCTTCTTTCATGTATATATACATAATACATATAAATATCTGTGTGTGTGTGTGTGTATAAGGGTCCCCCAATGAAAGCCCCAAACCCTAAACCCTAAACCCTAAACCCTAAACCCTAAACCCTAAACCCTAAACCACCCAAAGCCCTAAACCCTAAAACTGGCGTCAGAGCTTATAGGACCTGAGCGAGAGAGCCGCGTGAGGGCTGATTGCCGGCAGGCGCGCAAGAAGCAGCGAGTGAGCAGTGGCTCCAGCAGCTCCCAACCGAAGGCGAAAGACAAGGGCAAGGACAGCTGCCCTTCTTGTTTTTGTTGGTACCCTAAACCCTAAACCCTAAATCCTAAACCCTAAACCCTACACCCTAAACGCTAAACCCTAAACCCTAAACCCTAAACCCTAAACCCTAAACCCTAAACCCTAAACCCTAAACCCTAAACCCTAAACCGTAAACCCTAAACCCTAAGCCCTAAACCCTAAACCCTAAACCCTAAACCCTAAACCCTAGGCTGGTTTAGGGGCTAATGGTGTCGCAGCTAAGAAGGCCCACTGGCAGTGGCTCCATTCGATTTTGGTCAGGACAAGGCCAAGGAGAAGGACAAGAAGACCAAAGAGGCGGAGAAGGAGAAGGACAAGGGCAAGAAGGAGAAGCCGAAAGAGAAAGAGAAGCCCAAAGAGAAGGAGGACAAGGACCGGCAGAAGGACAAGGACAAAGAGAGGGAGAAGGACTCCATTGCATTGACCTTCTTGTTTGGGTATCGGTGGCATGCACGCGGGGAGCCTGGAGGCCTGGTCAAAGAACCCAAAACCCTAAACCCTAAACCCTAAACCCTAAAGGTCTTAGGGCCCTCTTCTGCCAGGACAAAAAAGCTAAAGATGCCAAAGACAAGGAAAAGGACTGCTTTGCAGCAGCGACTGCCAAGCTCGCCGGGATTTGAGGGCCTACATGACTTTGTTAGGGTTTAGGGTTTAGGGTTTAGGGTTTTAGGGTTTAGGGTTTAACATTTTACATGTTTAAGGGTACTTAAACCCAATAAGGAAGATAAATTTAAATTTTTAATATGAACCCAACAATGAACAAGACTAAGCCGGGCGCAGGTCTGCAAATCATGGGTCCCGCTCTCATACGGCCCTCACATCTGCGGCTTTTGGGTACCCCAAAGGAACCATATTTTGGAAGGCCCTCACATCTGCGGCTTGAGGATATCCCAAAGGAACCATATTTTGGAACTCAGATGTTTTGGAACTCAGATGCAGCAACCATCCGCTCCAGGCAAAGGACAAGGAGAAAGAGAAAGACAAATGAGCAATGTGGAGGCGGTAGGCTGCTTTTGCCCGCGTGTCTTTTTTCCGCGCCCAGCGCGTTGGTGGATACAGGGGTTCTCGCACCTGTCGGACTTGTGGGGTGTATGATTTCGGATTTCGGGATCGAGGGCCGAGGTGCTTCTATGAAGTCTTGCGGCTAGAGGAGTTTTTCACACACTGCAGCCACTCTCCACATCCTTGGAAGTACGAGGGGTTTTTCCCGGCGTTTCCTGCCCAGGCCTTCTGTTGCCCGAAGTGTCATGCTCAACCACCCACGTCGTAATTGCATGTATGAGCCACAGGCTGTAGACCATCGACCTCTGACTGTAAGGGCTACTTGTGTAGGAGCTTGGAAACGAGAGTTGCAGGAGCTTCTGTTCCCCACTACGTATTAAGTATTGAGCACAACAAGAACTCCACACCCCCTCGGCTTCATTCCCCCTGCTGCGTCAGGCCTCCGCGCGTTTCACTCAACGGCCGTACGCTCAGGTTTCGAAAGACCCCTGCAACCGCCCCTGAAACCCCGAACCTGTGTAGCTGCTCACATCCCCCAATTTTTGTGAAGTGTGGTCATGTATGTGTTCGGAGGGAAGGGGCGGCGGGACATCGCGTTACGGCTTTTGTCGAAAGCCGGGGACGTGGGTGTGTGTATACTTGCCTGAGGAGTCTCGAGAGTCAGCCCCGAATGCCTCAACCTACTTTACTGGTGCTGTTGTGCACTTTTTGCTTTGCAGAAATGACATAAACGCCATCCTTGAGCATGTTGAGGCAATCTTTGTGGTGGAGAGGATGCGGAGGGTCTGGACATCGGAATTTCCGTAGCATTTGCAGAAGAGTTTAGGCTTCACGGTTTTGGGTTGGGATGTTCCCTCTGATGCTAACAGTCCGTAATCGGGATTATAATAATCGGGTGTACTGTAATCCCAATTAAGGACTGTTCGTACAAGGGGGAGCATCCCCAGTTTCGGGACAGGCAGGGGGCAGTTGGACTGCTGAAGGAAACCTACCGGCTTGCTGCAAAGCACTGCGGCCCTAAACCTTGTGGAGGGTTTCGGGGCTCGGGGCGCAGAACAAGTGAGCAGTCGATGATGCCCAGTAAATCAAGTGCTGCTTTTGGTGCCATGACCCTTCCTGAAACTCAGATCGGGTCTTTCTTTCAAACTGTCACGAGCCCTAAACCTTAAACCCTAAACCCCAGACCCTAAACCCTAAACCGCCTATGGCGATCCTTGCTTGCTTAGGTCTTGCCAGCGCAGGCAGCCACTGTGAATATCCCCCAGCAAAGGTGTTGCGAATTCGTCGCTGGATGCCATATGCCGGTCATATCCGCCTCATGAGTTTGCAAGCGCAGATGAACTCAAACGCTCAACCCCAACCCTCCTTCATCCTTCCAACCCAAACCCTAAGTCTCCAGCCCGAAACCCTGAACTTCCTGAACTCAACTAAGCTAAACCAAGCCCTGAACCGTGAAAAAAGGCTCTCAAGCCCTCAGCCCTGAACCCCAAACCCTAAACCCTAAACCCTAAAAACACGGACTTCGACTTGTTGGGGCGAAGACTTTTGCCTGTTGTGGAGCTTGGTAGAGGCCAGCGCAATTCGCCATATTTTCAGCTGTCAGAGCAAATGATGAAGAGGTGCCTGGATTTGCAGGGTTTAGGGTTTAGGGTTTAGGGTTCCTGGAGACCCACAGTCTGAACCCTGGACCCCTAGGCAGGGTCCTTCTCTCGTATTCCAGGCACAGGGAGGCGGAAAGCGGGATCTTGGCCTGGGGATGTGCGATGAGGTGCAGCGCAGCCCGGAACCCTAAACCCTAAACCCTAAACCCTAAACCCTAAACCCTAAACCCTAAACCCCAAACCCTAAACCCTAAACCTATTGTCCCCGAGTCTACCGGCTCCTCGGGCCAAGAGCCAGTCTTCTTTCCAGGGAGCTTCACTTCAAGCGTCCCCTGAACCCTAAACCCTAAGCCCTAAGCCCTAAACCCTAAACCCTAAACCCTAGACCCTAAGCCATAAACCCTAAACCCTAAACCCTAAACCCTGAACCCTGAACCCTAAACCCTAAAACCTAAACCCCCTGACCCCTTCATACCGAGACTCAGGGCCCCGAACCCTAAACCGGGATGGGGCGGAGGGACACCTGACGAGGAGTCTCTTTGGATGCCTTGTGTTGAGGAGGAAGTAGAGGGAGCGTGCCGGTAAAAAGCCGCGCTTGGGGCTTTGGGGAGTAATTGCAACCCGTCACCCTAAACCCTAAACCCTAAACCCTAAACCCAAAACCCAAAACCCTAAAGAACCCTCTTGAAACGTTCTTTTCCATTGGGTTTCGGTGTTTGCGCCTCCCGCACCATAGTGACAGGCTCGTTCTGTCCTGCCCTCCAGAAAATGGAGAGTTCTGTGTACCCTATTCTGATTTCAGTCCCAGGCCCCCTTTAGGGTTTAGGGTTTAGGGTTTAGGGTTAGGGTTCAGGGTTTAGGGTTTAGGGTTTAGGGATTAGGGTTTAGGGCTTCTCGCCGCGCCGCGGCAGTAGATTTCATGCGGAGATGGCGCCCCAACACACCCTGGGGGTGTGAGGGGGCGGCATATGTCGCGGCGGCGTGTATTGAAGTTGGAGCCACCACAACCAGAAAGGTTGGGTTGTTTTATTTTTCCCACCCCCTGCTTACGCAGGCATCCACCCAACTTTTCTCCTTTTAGGGTTTCGGGCTAATGCCCTAAATTCCCACTTCCCATCCCCATCCTTTGAAGTTGGGCGAGGGGGGTGGAGGAACGGGGGAGGGGGGGGGGAGGGGGGGGGGGAGGGGGAGGGGGGGGGGAGGAGGGGGGGGGGAGGGGGCGTGGGGGGTCAGGGGGGGGCCCAGGAGGGGGGGCAAGGGGAGGCCAGGCGAGGCCACGGGAGGGTCCAGGGGCCAGAGATCCAAAAAGTGTCAAGAAGTAGGTTTGGGGGTTTGGTAGTGGGTTTTTGAGCGTGGTCCCTGAACACGCTCCGCCAGGGGCCCGGCACCAGGGGGCTCCGGAGGGGGGCCTAGGGGCGACGTGCAGAAGCCACTTTCAGTACTGCGCGAACAGGTCGTCATCGGTACTGCACCGGCACTGGAGGTGCAGCTCACGCTCAACACAACTCTTTAGGCTTGCATAGTAACTCCAAGCGATGGTGTTAATCGCTGTCGGGTGTAGTGCTGGGTCCAGGCACCCTGAAAAGGGTGGGTACGGCCTAAGCAGGCCTGGGTGGGAATTTAGGGTTTAGGGTTTAGGGTTTAGGGTTTAGGGTACCGGAACCCCTGAAACCTCAACCTCTAGGAATCATCTCGAAGCAAGCCTTGAATCGTACCATCCTCCAAGGTAGAAAACTCCGGGGCTAAAGAAACCGCCATGCCGCAGCCACGTCAATGGCTCAAGATAGCAGTTGGACGGAAGGCCAGCGATTCTTAGTAGTAGAGTAGGTAACCTTTAACCTTTTTGGGTTAATATATTCCCCTTAAAATCCCAAAGGTTAACCTTTAAAACCCCTAGGTACTGGACAACTAAGGATTTCACGGTACCGTGAAGTTCTTCCGCGGGAGCTTCGGATGGGTAACCTCCAGCTCCGTCGCTGAGAAGATGGGCGCGGAACGCGATGTCTTCCTGCATCGAAACTTCGTGAACTCAGCGCCTTCGCGAAGAGATGGACCCTAAACGGAGGAGCCACCTGAGCCTCAAACTCTCTGAAAACTCCCCACGTACTCTCCCCACGTCATGTGAGCCCCAAGAGCCCTATAGAGGAGACCTCTCGGGTTCCAGAGGTGCGGGGGCTCGCGGGGTCTGCCTATTCCTGCATTGGAGAGATTCTGAACCATGACAGGCCGCGCACGACCTAGAGACCTTCAGGGAAGGCAGAAGAAGAAAAGAACGAAGTTGGGATGTTCCCCCTTATGCTGGCAGTGCCTAAGAGGAATTCTACCCTAGGGGCTACTATAACCCCTAGCAAGGACTGTTGGTACTCGGGGGAACATCCCAAGAAAGAGGGAGAGACAGGCGTCGGATCGCCAGGGGGCTTCTTTGCCAGGGTTATCGTGGAGGGTGGGGGAGGCATCATGGTGCTGAGGGGATGGGCAGTTCCTAGGAGTTGTGGAGTTCCGGGGGGCGCAGCCCCCGTTCTAAACACCCTGTAGCTATGATCCCTCTGAACCCTAATTTTCCCTAAGCCCAGGTTCCGAGTGTCGGCGATGCTGTCGAGTTTGACCTGACCGTGGATGCCAAGGGGCAGCCCAAGGTTAATTACTGGGTTGAGTGTTGTACAGGGTTCAGAACTCCCGAAATCCAAAATCTACGCATGAGCCCCCAGGACGCCAGGCAGGCTCCTTTGATATCCCGTACTTGCTGTGTGTTCCCTAACTGCTTTTGGTTTGAGGATCCACTTGGGGAATCCTCCCCCAAGTAAGGTTGCAAGGCCGCGACCTCGTTGAGGTGCTGCCTGGGTTTCGTCCGGTTGCCGCTCCGCGCTACATCACATCGGCGAAGCCGAGGAAAGTAGTTAGAGGAACGTCGAGTATATATGTATATTTATTTTTATTTATTTATATATATATTTTTTGCACAAGGCAGAAATGTTCAGAGATCTTTGTTAGGCTACCAATGCCATCATCGTGAATGGGAAGGGCGCCCAGAAGCAGGCGAAAGGCGGCCGACTTGTTGCTGGACCGTCCCACATGCCCGCCAGCAAGGGTCGTTGATGCTGTGCTATGAGAGGGATGAGAGCAGCGCACTGTCGCCCTGGTCTGAGAGTCCAGGCATCGGATGCGGATCAAATTACAAACAAGAGAAGTAGGAAGGCATTCTCTTGACGGTTCCTTGTTGGCAGTACATGCGCAGCGGCACTGCCTTTACAGACAAGGTCAAAGTTCGCTGCTCGGGCAGGTGAAGCGAGTGACAAGAAGGGGCCAGCTCCGACTCCGACGGACACGCAGGCCGGGGGAGCGCATGGCTGTGGATGTTGACGGAGGGCTGGAAGCAGGATTTTTCAGGGTGGGGAAGGCGCGTCCATACCCGCAGTGGAGTTGTTTGTACTTCAAACCAGATGCGAGCATATTTGAAAGAGGTCGCGGATTGCTGGTGTCTTAGAAAAATCGGTGTGTAGTCTGCTTGGCCGGCAGCCTGTTTCCAACACACAGGAGGCTGTTCTTGTTTTTGGTCTTGGCTCGTTGTGATCGGCAACCTAAACCTAAATCCACAACTCAGTCCCCAAACCTGAAAATCCACGTACTGTAGGGTTCAGGATTGCAACACCAATGTCCCGATGTCCCGTGCCCCCATGTCCGCTGCCCAGTGGCGCTGAGCTACAGTTTGGCTCAAGTTGGAGGAAGTTCCGGTTGATCAGCGATGTCCGAACCATCGTCTTACGACAACACAACTTGGATGCATAAACAAGTGGATCTGCATCGTGCTATAGCTTTTGCGAAATCCAATAGCCGAGAAGGTGATGGCTCCTACCTGATTCCGACGCGCTCGCCAGGAAGTCCGCCTGCGTGAGCGACGCATGTGTTCAGCACGATGGCCGTGCCGCGGAGGCGCCTTCTCCTTTCGCTCATGGCAATTGCTTGCTGGTTTGTGCAGACTGCGAGGGGTGGAGGCTTCGTAGTGGCCGCGGCAAGAGGGGGTGGCAGGAGGCCGGCAAGAGTGGCGGGCTCGCGAGTGCAGCTTCAGGGAGTGTCGGTGGAGAGCATGGAGAAGTACCCCCGGTTGCCAGTGTGGCCTGCATGGTTCCTAGGGTAGGCCCTTGGGACATTTTTATGTCTTTTCCCTTATTGCAATTGAAGAGGATCATATGCAGGAGTATTTTTCAGAGGGTGTTCTATATCCCCCTTGGGGATGATTTTCTATTGTTGTTGATATAAACCTCAAGAGGACATTTCAAAAAACATTACCTTTATTAAGATTTCTAAGGGGAGTCTAGTGTTATAGGGGCCCTCCTAGGTTCGGCCTGGTGTACATCTTGCTGGACTTGCTGGGCAAACCCAAAGTCGGGGCCTGGCTCGAGGATCGCTTCGGAGGCCGCGTTTGCCCGATGGTCCTTCGAGATAAGGCCGCGTCGGATCCCTTCTTGCTGGTGGCGCACCACCGGCACTCCTTCAACGCCTTCGATCCCTTCCGCCACCTCTTCCGGCTCTTGTTGCCGGAAGGCTTCCCAGCCCACCCACACCGGGGTTTTGAGACGGTGACCTATGTCCTTCGAGGCGGACTCGTGCATCGCGACTCCTTCGGAGTCAAGAAGTCGTATGGCGCCCCCAGCGACACCAGCGGAAGGGGGGACGATGCCGCGGTGCAGTGGATGACTGCAGGGAGCGGGATGTTGCATGAGGAGATGTGGCGAACGGGCGGCGCTTGGGAGAGCTCCGACCAGGAGCTCTTTCAAATCTGGGTGAATCTTCCCAAGGCTGACAAGTACACCAGCCCCCGGATGCAAATGCTGCAGACTCCTCACAGCTCCCCCACTGTTTCATCTGCCAAGCTGGGAGTGATGACTGAAGTGCATGAGCGTGGCCCCGTGCCTTCCCATGAGCCCCGGCCGGGCGTGTGCGTGCGCATCATCGCAGGGCAGGCCGGGGGTGTGCGCAGTCCCATCGAGACATTTTCAGAGATGGCCATTCTGCACGTCACTCTCCAAGCTGGAGCCTTACTCGTCTCAGTCCCTGGGGGGTGTTTTTGGGAAGTCGGGTGCCTTCGAATCCACCTCCCCCTACATACCCTGTTTAAGGAATGATACCGGAAGCCTAAGCCCGGAGCCCCGAATGCCCTGCCAAAAGCCCAGGAGCAGAGTGGACCTGGCCCAAGCCAGCAGCCTGGAACTGCATGCTGTATACACGCAGAGGAGAAGCCATCCTCGGTGAGGAGACGCCCCTGCCGGTCCACCACACGGCAACGTTGGCGCGTGTAAACTCCGAGGAGGAGCTGCGGGTCGCTGCAAACTCCGAGGAGGCGGAGGTCTTGATCCTGGCTGGCGCGCCTCTTCGGGAGCCAGTGGCCATGGGCTCCAACATCGTCATGAATTCGGACGAGGAGCTGGCCCTGGCAAGTCGTGACTTGCGCGGCGGCTACTTCGGGCCGAGCTGGGATCACGCCGACGACGATGCCACGTGGCTGTCGGCCGTCGCGAAGCACTGGGGCCGAATGGCAGATGCCCTGAGGCGCTGCCCGCCCGCGCTGAAGTTCTGCCTCTTGGTAGCCCAATGGTACCCTTTACTTTTTTTTTGGGGGGGGGGTTCTGGCTTCCCTTATAAAAGAGCCAACCCAAAAAAGGGCGCCCTTATTATTATTATTATTATTATTATTATTATTATTATTATTATTATTGTTTTTATTGTCTATTATTTTTTATTATTTTTATTATTATTGTTATTATTATGATTATTACTATTATTACTATTATCATTATCATTATTTTTATTAATATTATTATTATATGGTTACTGGGCTCCCAAGGCCTCGACAAGCAGCTGGAGCTTGCAAGCGGCCGTAGCAAGGCAGCTTCTGAAAGGTCGTCCACGTGAAGCTGTTTGTTCTTGCTGTCAGTCGCTTCTGACAGCTGAACAGAAAAACACCACCTTCCTACTGTAATTGGGGGGGGGGGGGTTTGATGAGCCCGAAACTCATGAAGCGAAATTCTGCAATTGTTGCCCTCGGAAAAAAATCTTTTCTCAAGTTGCAGCATTTTGCTCAAAGGTAGGAGCAAACTGAACCGCAGTACCTTTTTGTCGCCATGGCACGCTGTCTCGCAGTTGTGATCCTGGCCTCGCTCACGGCCGCTGCCCTCGCGGGAGAAGACTTCTGCACTTTTCCCGTGGAGCCGACGGAGAGGTTGTGCCCCCCAAGCACAGAGGCACTGGGCGACCTCGATCCCACGAACAACTGCATCTTGTACTCGGTCATGGGCAACAACAAGAGCTGCAGCACCGTCTGCAGCGAGAAGAGCGCCAAGTGCGTGAATGCAGTAGACGATTTGCGCACGAAGAAGCCTTGCCAGTACAACAAGGACGAGCCCGTGGATTGTGAGACTGCGAACTACTATGACCTCCACTGCATCTGCGAGGTGCCAAAGGAGGTTGAGACCGAGTGTGACTACCTGCACCCGCTGAAGGGCAAGAACGAAGTGGAGTGCACGGAGGGCACTTTCACCACTGAGCTCAAGGAGGGTGGCAAGAACTGTGTGGCTCTTGCGCGCCTCCACAAGCGCTCTACTTGCAGCGACTTCTGCGAGAGCAAAGGAGCTACGTGCGTGGATGCGGTCGACAACACGGTCATTGGCAAGGGTTGCGAAGGCAACTACGACATGGTTGAGGCAGTGGACTGCGACAGCAAGGGCTTCCAGGATCTGCACTGCATCTGCACCAAGGATGAGCCGACGACCACGACCACCACGACCACCCCCGGTTGTGATGCGCTGCTCCCCTTTGTGAACCCCGGGGAGAAGTTCTGCACAGAGGGCGATGTTGTGGCAGAGCGGGAGGAGAATGGCGCCAACTGCGTGATCTATGCGGTGCTGGCGAAGCGGTCGTCTTGCAACGACTTCTGCGAGGCTCGCAATACAGTCTGCGTGAGCGCCATCGACAACCTGGAAATCGGCAAGGGCTGCGAGTACGACCTGGAGGAGGAGGTGACGTGCGCGCACAGGCACTTCTTTGACATCCATTGCGTGTGCCGGAAGCCGACGCACGAGGGTTGCAGCAGCGTCGCGCTCTGCGACGATGTTTGCAACGTCACCTACGCCGAGGACAGGCACAAGGCACGCTGCCTCCAGCACTGCTCAAGCAACGCCGAGAAGTTCTTGGACTTTGCGAAGGACGCCCACAACCTGATCATGCACGAGTGCAGCTTTGTCATAGTTGGGTAACATTCTGCATTTTTAAGGGTACCTAAACCCAACAAGGAATAACAATTTTAAGAACTTTTAATCTTATCCCAACAATGAGCTAGGCAGTGAGGAGGAAGGCGCAGCTCTCCTCCAGCGCAAGGTTGATGGTGGCGGCGCCGCCCGCGCGGCGCACCGGCCCGATGGACATCACCGCGTGCACCCGCGTCACCACCCTCACCACCACCCTCACCATGCGCCGCCCTGCGCGTACAAGGAGTACTGCAAGGGCTTGTGCGGTGCCATTGGCTACCTCGCCGGCTGCGAGGAGAAGTGCCTCGCTTCGGCGCACGCAGTGAGCTTCCTGCTCAAGAAGTTCTATGACACGTGCGTCGACCCGCTGGAAGATGATCAGTGAGAGGCATGTACGAAGATGCTCCGCCAAAGGTGGGGGTTTCACGATGGGAGACGACTTTTAACAGGAGACGACTTTTAACAAGAGCCAACCCTAGCCCGCCTCGAACCCCAAGTAGTAGGGATACATTTCGGGATCAGTTCGGGGTCTTGTGATTGTTTGTGTCGAAAGTCTAGAGTCTAGAGGCCACTTCAACTCACTCTAGCCATGTCTCCTCTGGCCCAGCTCCGAACGGAGCTTTTGGGCGTTCAGTTTTGACTCCAGCAAATGTTATGTGAGTTTAAGCGGCCATCGATGTCCAGCAGCTGGAGCAGAGCGACCGCGCACCGCCACCGCGCTCTTAACCCTAGGCTGAGCCTCAACCCTATCCGATCCCGAAGTCAACCCAAGACCCTAAACCCTATAAGCCCTATAAGCCCTATAAACCCTATAAACCCTATAAACCCCATAAACCCTAAACCCTATAAACCCTAAACCCCATAAACCCTCTAAACCCTATAGACTCTAACCCCTAAACAAAACCCCTAAACCCTTCTTCAGAACAAGCTGCTCCAACCGCGGTCGAGCCGCAGATTTGGTTAGGGACAGGCCCCCTAGCCCGGCGCACAGGAAACAGCAACACGAAAGTGTGGGTGTAGGGGCTTAGGTTGTTTTGGTAGGGTTTGGGGTTTTAGGGGTCAAAAAGGGTTTTGGGGTCCCCCCCCCCCCCAAGCTTCCAGACGTCAACTTCGCTATAGGGCTCTTAGGTACCTAGGGAACCTTAGGGAAGCGTAGGGAGCCTTAGGGAGTAGTGGGGAGTATAAGGGACCTTAGGTTACGTACTCCCCTTGAACCCCCTTCCCTTAAGAACACCATAACTTCGGAATCCCCCTCCCCTATAGCTTAGGGTTTAGGGTTTAGGGTTTAGGGTTTGGGGTTTAGGGTTTAGGGTTTAGGGTTTAGGGGAGAGCCAACAGAGAGCTGGCAGGTCAAGCGGGCCGCGTTGATGCTGTTCCGCCTCCCAGCTGCCTTTTGTGGGGACCCTAAACCCTAAACCCTAAACCCTAAACCCTAAACCCTAAACCCCTAAACGGGGTTTTCTGGAGTAGACAAACACCTCTTGGGTCCCCCCCCCCCGCCCGTGTTTTCGAGTCCTCAGGCTTCTGATTGCTTTTCAAGAAGCAGCTTTTCGGTCCCAGAGGTCTTGAACACCTCAAGGGTTTCCAGATGAAAGGGCTTGAAGGCCTCTTTGGGTTGTTTTTTGCATGTTGATGTTTTTTCTCTTTCCGAGGACGCCACGATCTTTAAGTGTCTCGGTTTGGGCTTGAGCCCCTCAATTCTGCCGCTCCCCTAAACCCTCACCGACTTGTCTGCAAAAAGGCGTCTGCCTTTACAACTTGATTATGTGTTGTAGGTGCCACAGTGCCACTTGAGTCCAAACCACATCTTGTGAGTCCAACCTCCCAAGCGAAATGCCCAAGACCCTAAACCCTAACGGGCCAACACCCTGCTCTTTCGATGCTGGGCCAACACTTCTGCTGCCTTTTTGGACACTGCCGTTGTCGGCACTGTAGCGTGGCCTGGGCCGCCCCGAATGCGGCTGAGTGTGAGCCATTCTCCCCACCCTGCCGAACCCCGGCACACTCTGTTGCCATTTCCTTTTGAGCTATGCCAGGGTTGAGAGGTGGGAAGTGACGTCTTTGTAACTGCTTGGGGATTCGTTGTGGCATGTGTGGGCCTGTGAGCTTCGTGCGTCAAGAGTCCATCCAGACTCCCAAAGGTACTGCTTGGCAGCTGTCAAAAACCCTAAACCCTAAACCCTAAACACTAAACCCTAAACCCTAAACCCTAAACCCTAAAACCTAAACCCTAAACCCTAAACCCTTCCACACTGAAAAAATGGGACGGAGAAAAAGACACTGACCTTCAAGGCGGTCCAGATGTCCTGGTGCTGCAAGAGATGAAGGATGGGATGCTCATGTGGAGTGCCGGGCGCCCAAGCATGGGGTTAATCCCCTCCCGACGAATATGAAACTCCCCGGCCCGGTTCTGTGGTTTCTGTGGTTTCTGTGGTTTCTGTGGTTTCTGTGGTTTCTGTGGTTTTTGATATACGGGTCGGAAGAATCACTAACAGTATTCCCCCATAGCCCCGATATAACTGTACATTGGGATGTTCCCCCTTATTCTAACAGTCCTTACGATACTCGGGGGTACTATAATCCGTGTTAAGGACTGTTAGCATAAGGGAGAACATCCCACACTTTTTACAAGACCACCCAATACCCTATTCTTGTCGTTAAGGCGTGTTCAGGCCCCTACATTAGGAACTCGGCGGTCCTGTATTTGACATGGGCAGTTATCGAAATTCTGGTCCCTTTCGAAGTTCCTCTTGCAAAACGCAGCCTGCAATCTAGGGCACCGTAAAAGGGGATCATATCATTTAGAGAGCTACTACCCACACGGTTTTGGGAATGGTTACGACGCCTCTGGGGCGTCTGTTGATCAACATGTTGGGCTGATTTTGGAGAGGACCTCTATCATCGCAGATTATCCTGTGTTTACTTGAGGGCGCCCACAAGAGGGCCCATGGCCCCACCGAACCACCTACAATTAGAGCCTTAGACCCGAGGACCTGGGAGGAAAGGTTGAAGCTGGTGAGAGCTTCCTCTCCTGCGCGCTTCGTGAGCTGGATGAGGCTGCTTTCCGATTTTCGGAGTTTCGCGGAGGGTTTCGAGTTTTTTTGTTGGGGATTGTTGGAGCCTTGCTTTATGAGGGTCAGGGCTTTAGCCTAAAGCGTGGCCCTCCTGAGGTTGATTGAGAGTTTGGGGATTCGGGTGGGCCGGAACATGTTCATGAAGTCTCTGTCTCTGCTTCAACTGCCTCCCTTCGCCGTTCAGACAGGAAAGTTGGGCCTTCTAAGCCCTCCTGTAAATTTGGTTTACTGTTTAGGGTTCCTCCTCCTTTTCCCTGGGCATGATGTGGCATGAAGATAGCTGCAATCTGCGAGTGTGTTTTGTGTCTGTCGGTGCGCCGGCGAGCTGATGCACCCTAAATCTGAACCCGCGGCCGGGGGGTTTAGGGTTTAGGGTTCAGGGCTTAGGCCCTAACATGCAGAGTCTGGGTTCAAAAAGGGTTTAGGGCCTTGCGCATCCTGGACCTTGAAAGGGTCTAAGATTCCCCCCCTGTGGAAGGAGGCCCAGTCTTTTCTCTCCGAAGCTTCCATCGCCGTGTCGCTTGGCTTGCAGGAACTGCGTGTTTGTGTATGTGGGTGGTTGTCAAAGTTATGACCCCTTTTTGGGGTACCCTAAATATTAAGTGCCGTGTTTTCATGAGGATCCAAAAAGGGACCATAATTTTGACAACCACCCATGTTACACGTGCCCGGGGTGGTTGATTAGATTTCCGGAGGCGAGCTGCTTTTCGAGTTGAGGAAGATGCAGTTTAGGGCAGGGTTTCTTGCCGGGCTTTCGTACATATGTCTCCAGGGCATTGAGAAGGCCGAGTTTTTTTGTTATTGTTTTTTTATCGGTGGCTTTGCTTGTTAAACGTAGGACGCAAAATATCGGTGAACTTTTAAGAAACTCACTTCCGGCTTAGGCACAAGGATGTCCCAGAGTCCAGCTTAGGGCGGGCATGGGGTCTGGTGGAGGGCTCAAACTGGCCAAACCTCCTTACGAAGCTCAGGCTCCCTGAGTGCTCTCAGTGCCACCCCAAGGCTCAAGAAAGGCCTCGAGCTACAGTTCGGGGACGGAAAGCCGCTCGGCTTCGCGATGTTCTGTTTGAGGCTTTGCTTGAGGTGTTGGGGCAGAAAATGGGTTTAGGTTGGGATGCTCCCCCCTTACTCTAGCAGTCCTTAAATAGCGGTTCTAATTAAGGGAGTACCTGTAATCCCCACGAAGGAGCTGCTAGTAGAAGGGGGGAACATCCCAAGGGTCAAGGTTGCTTGGAGCCGAGGGTTGCTAGGGACTCTTGGGTCGGTTGTGGGGCTCAGGGGTGGGTTCGAACTTTATGGGAAAAAAGTTTCGGTCATCAAAGGTTTGCAATGCGAACCCTAAGCCTTAAAGCCTTAAACCCTAAACTCTAAACCCACACAAAGGGTGCAGGGCTCAGGGCTGCAGGCTTAAGGTTTTTTTTCGGTTTCGTGGGGAGCATGCCAGATTTTTTGCACCCGAAAGGCAGTCGCCGGAGATCGTGCCCCTGAAAGCCACGGGGAACAAGCCGCAGTCGGTGGCGGAGCCTTTGCTGGAAGGAGGGCAGCCGGGTATAGGGTTTAGGGTTTAGGGTTTAGGGTTTAGGGTTTACCCCCCCCCCCACCCGGCCCACGAGGCGTCGTAGCACAACGGGGATGCCACAAAAGGCACCAAAATTTGACCGGGTTTAGGCCTGGGGGTTGAGTATTGGCTAGGAAGTGGAAAGGAAAGGAGGAAAGGAATGGAAACGAGCGGAAAGGAGTGGAAGGGAAGGAAACGAGGCAGGAGTGGAATGGAATGGAATGGAGAATGGAACGGAGAATGGAATGGAAAAGTGAATGGAAAATGGAACGGAAAAGGGAATGGAAAAGGGAATGGAAAAGGGAATGACACATGGAATGGAAAATGGAAAATGGAAAATGGAAAATGGAAAATGGAAAATGGAAAATGGAAAATGGAAAATGGAAAATGGAAAATGGAAAATGGAAAATGGAAAATGGAAAATGTAAAATGGAAAATGGAAAATGGAAAATGGAAAATGGAAAATGGAATGGAAAAGGGAATGGAACATGGAATGGAACATGGAATGGAACATGGAATGGAAAATGGGGAAGAATCGAATGGAGAGGAATGGAAAGGAATGGAGAGGAATGAAAGGGAAGGAAGGAAAGAAAAAGAAGCAATGAAGGAAGGGCGAAGAAGGAGTGTACAGAAGTTACTTCGCCTGGCCCTGACCTGAGGCTCAGTGTTGTCATTGACGGGCAACATTGACATGTATCGAATCTGAGTGCTGGGGACGGTACTTGGAGACTTCGGCACGTACTTCTACGAGGG